TTTAATTTTTTTCCTTTTTTTTTCTGGGTCTCTTTCTATCAACTTTCCTTCAGGTTTGTGGGTGCTATTTTCCTACTTCTTGGCATACCAGGGTAGGTTCTAATTAGATTTCAGACTTTGTGAATTTTGCATTACTGGTTGATGGACTGCTTCCTATTCCTTTTGAATATTATTGGGCTTTGTCCTGGGAAGCAGTAAATTACTTAGAAACAGTTTATTTTTTTAGTGGTTTGCATTATGCTTTGGTAAGAGAGTTCAGAGGAGCCTTTACTCTAGATCCAATTTGAGCCACCCACTGAGATAATGCTCTTCTGAAGTTCCACTGTGAGTCTCCAAATGTTAAGGAGGTGTTTCCATTCCAGTTGGTGGAAACACAAATTATTGCCAACTTTGTGCAAGCTCCAAGGATGGTTCAGCCTGTTCATTTCCAGTGGTTCTTTCTCCAGCCTAGGGAGTTTCTTCACATATATGTGCCGATTACAACTTAAAAACTTGTGGAGGAACTCTAGAATTCTGACCTAGAAATTGCCCTCCTACTGCCCCTCCCCTGAACTACTCAAACAAATAATCTAAAAACAATACTCACCATAGCCCTGCTTCTAATCTCATTATTGGCAATTAGCCTGGCCTATGAACGAACTCAAAAAGGACTAGAATGAGGGCTTCCCTGATGGTGCAGTGGTTGAGAGTCCGCCTGCCGATCCAGGGGACATGGGCTTGTGCCCCAGTCTGGGAAGATCCCACATGCCATGGAGCGGCTGGGCCCGTGAGCCATAGCTGCTGAGCCTGTGCGTCCGGAGCCTGTGGTCCACAACGGGAGAGTCCACAACAGTGAGAGGCCCGCGTACCACGAAAAAAAAAAAAAAAAAAGGACTAGAATGAACTGAATATGGTATTTAGTTTAAAACAAATGATTTTGACTCATTAGACTATGACTAAATTCATAATTACCAAGTGCCTTTAGTATATATAATCATTATAGCTTTCACAGTATCTCTTGTAGGACTGCTAGAACTCTGGAACTCTCTCACTCTCTGGGCACAGCTCTCTCCTCTCCTGTCATCTGCCCCATGGATTGATTTCAGCCACACTGAATTCCACTAACTCTAAACTCTGTCTCAATTCAAGGAGACTGAGATCTTTTGGGGCTCCTCCTCCCTATGCTGTAGAATGGAAACTCTCTCCAGGCAGTAGCCTGGGGGGCAATCATAAGGCTTACTTCATTTGTTTTCTTTCTCTCAGAGATAGCTGTTCTGAGCTCCCTATTATCCAACATCTGAAGAAGTCCATTCACGTATTTTGTCTTTTCTTGTTATTTAAGGTGGGATGATATATACATCATACTGTTGAAGAAAAAGTTGTTGTTGGAGTTGGCTGTGAAAAATACTGGTCAGGATTTAGGTTCACTATGATATATGTGGATATATTAATTTGTGCAATTTCAGAATAGATACAAACGTATGTTTGGTAGTATTTCTAGCAGCATAAATCTCATATTCCTTTAGGACATTTAAGAGTTCTTTTCTAGTGCTGAGAATTTGATTTATACATTTCAAGAGCATTCCACGGTGTTCACATCTAACAGTCAGTGTAAGATTCTCTGATTAAAGAAAAAATGTTAATGTACTTAGATCATAATTACTTTAGATAATTATTTCCCTGGAAACATGTTTTTCCAAATTTACTTAAGGGCTAGGTAGGAATTTATCAAAGTGTAAATTCTCTGAAATCTAATGTTTTTGTGGTAGGCAAAATAATGGCAAATCCCAAAGGTGTTCATGTCCTAATTCCTAGAAACTGTAAATATGTTACATTGCATGGTAAAGGGGAATTAAGGTAGAAGATGGAATTAAGTTATTTTAGGACCATATAAATTGTTTCTAGAGTTTTAAAGGTTCACAGAGAGAAACCTCAGAATGGATTGTACCCAGAGCCTATCAACACTAGATTTAGAAGATGAAATTTGGCACTCCTGAGCTGATCAGTATTAGGTTAGGTTTTGGATTCTGAGTTGATCCTGTAATGGGCTGAGACATCTGGAGATGCTGGGATAGGATGAATCCATTTGCATGCAGGATAGACACGAATCACTGGGCGCCCAAGGGTGGCCTCTGGTAGGTAGAATGATGGCCTCCCAAAGATGTCTACATCCTTATGTCTAGGACCTGTGAACATGTTATATTATAAGGCAAAGGGGACACAAGGTAGTAGATGGAGTTAAAGCTGCTAATTAACTGACTTTAAGATAGGAGATTATCCTGGATTATCTGGGTGGGCCCAATGTAATCACAAGCATTCTTAAACGTGGAAGGAGGAGACAGAAGAATGAGTGTTGGAGGGATGAAAGAGTTGACCAGCCATTGCTGGCTCTGAGGAAGGAAAGGGGCCGCAAGCCATGGAATTTGGGCAGCTTCTAGAAGCTGGAAAAGCAAAGAAACAGATTCTCCTCTAGAGCCTCCAAGAAGAAATGCAACCCTGTGAACAACCTTGCTTTTGGCCCAGAGATGCATTCTGGACTTCAGAGCTCCAGGATAATAAATTGTGCTGTTATGAGACGCTGAGTTTGTGACAACTGGTTACAGCAGCCATAAGAAACTAATATAGCTGTCCTTCTACATTCATTATATTCTTAGGTTTTCACTGCACAATGCAATTCCTGGTGTCCAAGAAGATTTCCTTTATTTACAAAAGTCTTTCCCACTTTCCAAGGTAAAACTGTGATACATGACTTAGTTTGGTGATAGAATTTCCATTTTTTATTGCCTTTGGGGGATTTTTCTTCTCTATGAGTGCTCCCACATTTTACTAAACATGTCTTCCACCTTCAGTGCCTCTAGAGTTGTCTTTCTATGCTCCTCTGACAAGTGATAAGGTACAATTTATCATAAAAAACCATCACACTCTAAGGTTTTGGTCCTGTGGGAATTCTTTGATATCAACTGCAATATCACCTCTAGGAAAAGACTTCCCCACAGGAGCTGCATTTCTGCCCAATGTGATCTCACTGATATTTACTAAGCCTAACTTCTCACAGAGGTGTTCTCCACAACCACCCCATCCACAGCATTTCTGTCCTAAGCAAGCTCTGACACATAATGAATGTGGGGAGGATTCTTGCTCAAGACTTTTTCCCATCTCAGGTATCTGAGGATTTTTTTTTCCTACACAATATCTGTAACATATAAGACATAACTTATTACTGAAGGGGTTGTCGCATTCACTGTATTTGCAAGGCTTAATCCCTGTGTAAATTCCTGATTTTCTACTGAGGCTTGACTTCTTGGAAAAGGCTGGTCCACAATCACTACATTTCTGTCCCCTAGGAACTCACTGATGTTTAATAAGGGCTGGGTTCCCGTAAAAGACATTTCCACAGGCACTGCGTTCATAGGGTTTTGCTCCTGTATGAGTTCACTCATGAATAAAGAGCTATGACTCACTGAGGAAGATTTCTCCAGCTTTGGGGAATCCACAGCTTTCTCTCTTGTATGAGTTTTCTTATGTTTGGTGAGGACTGACATGTGGGCAAAGGCTTTGCCACATTCACTGCAGGCATATGGTCTCTCTCCGGTGTGAGTCCGGTGGTGCTGAATGAGCTCTGACTTGCTTCTGAAGGCTTTTCCACAATCACTGCATTCATATGGTTTCTCTCCTGTATGAATTCTCTGATGCTTGGTAAGGTCTGACTTAAAAAAGAACGTTTTTCCACATTCCCTGCATTCGTAAGGCTTCTCTCCTGTGTGAAGTCTCTGATGTGCAATGGCATATGAGTTCTGGGAAAAGGCTTTCCCACACACACTGCAACCATACAATTTCTCTCCAGTATGAGAGCGCTGATGTCTGTTGAGCCGGCACTTCCGGCTGAAGGCTTTTCCACATTCACTGCATCCGTAGGGTTTCTCTCCTGTATGAGTTCGCTGATGGACCATGAGCTGTGACTTCCTGGAAAAGGCTTTCCCACATTCATTACATTCATGGGGTTTCTCTCCTGTATGAGTTCTCTGATGTTCAGTGAGCTGAATCTTCCTCAAGAATTTTTTCCCACATTCATTGCATCCATGGGGTTTCTCTCCTCTTTCAGTTCTCTGATGTCTAACGAGCTCTGCCTTCCTGGAGAAGGCTTTCCCGCACTCACTGCATGTATGTGGTTTCTTTCCTGGATAAATTTTTTGATGGTCCTCGAGCTGTGACTTAGTGCTACTGGGTTTCACACAGCCATGGTATTTAATTCTGGTAAGAGTTCTATTATGCTGGAGGTAGAGAGATGATTTCCCATATCCACTGAACTCACCAGAATCCTTTCCTGCATATCTTCTATTCTCAATAACAAAACCTAAAGGTGATTTCAAACTTTTACAATGTGGGCCAAAATTATTGTATCTCTGTGTTAAAGGAACAAGACTTTTGCATAAGTCGAAATTATTTCCAAGTGCATAACTTTGCTGACATCTTTCCAAAGTTTTAATCCCATTTTGGTTTTCTGGGTGCCATTGCATAGGGTGAATCTCCCATATTTCTTCTAGGAAAAAGAACAATGAAAACATCCATGATAATTTTAGGGGGTAAAAAAGGTACAAAAATGCCATGGTTTGGGCTAGCTCTGATAAGATCCCAGTCTAAGAGAAATGTCCACTATGGAAATGTATCCTATGCTCTGTGAAAAATGACAATATTGCATGCTGCAACTAAGGAGCTTGTGAGCTGCAACTAAGGAGCCCACCTGTTGCATCTAAGATCTGGTGTAACTAAATAAATAAACATATATATATATATATATATGTATATGTATATTGTGTGTGTGTGTGCGTGTGTGTGTGTGGTCTGCGGGCCTCTCACTGTTGTGGGCTCTCCCGTTGTGGAACACAGGCTCTGGATGCACAGGCTCAGCGGCCATGGCTCACGGGCCTAGCTGCTCCGCGGCATGTGGGATCTTCCCAGACCAGAGCATGAACCTGTGTCCCCTGCATCGACAGGCGGACTCTCAACCACTGAGCCACCAGGGAAGCCCATAAATAAATATTTTTTAAAAAGAGACAATATTATAAAACAGTAAAAGGAAAAACAGCTATTTTAGAAACAAAGTTGGGCAGTCTACAATGAATAAATATAATGTGGGCTGCTTTCCAAATAGAACCTCGCAAAATGGGGACAGAAGTAGAAATAGAACCACACTGTGACTGGAATACAAAAAAAGAAGATGGAAGGGATGGATCCATCCATCCAAAAAACACTGAATGGGTTGGTGTTTGGGAATATACTAGAATATTAGAATAATATATTAGAATATTAGAATTAGTATGTTACTACAGTTTGACTAATATATTCTGTCTCCATGGAGCTGTCATTCTAGTAACAAAAGAGAAAGAGAGCAAGAATCAAGAGGTAATCAAAGTAGTAAGAAAATTATAGAACATGAAAAATGGTATGAAAGAGGTGATAGAGTAGTGCAAGGTCAATCTTAGACAAAGTAGTCATCCTCAAGAGAAAAAAAAGTTAAGCTGACATCACAGGACTAGAATGAGCAATGTTATGCAAATAACTACATGAAGACTATTCCAAGAGGAAACAGGCAATGCAAAAACTCAAAGGCAAAAAAAACTTAGGCATGATAGAGAAACATAAGGGAGGCTGGCATACTTGGACTATCCTGAGCTTGAGGGAAGTAGAAATAGATAAGTTTGGAAAGGTCTGTAGAATTGAGAGTGTATAGATCTTGTAAACTGTTAAAAACTGGATTTTATGCTAAGAACAATAGCAGGAAGCAACCAAAAAATTTTTGACAGAAGTACAACAGGTTTTGAATTGATATTTCCAAAAGGTCACATGACTCATAGGAAGAATGAATTGGAGAAATAAAATTGTTGAGAAAACACACAGGAGGCTATGGTAGAGTTCCAGCAAGAGATAACAGTAGCCTCAGCATGGATGACTACCAAGGAGATGAAAAAATGTACAAAAACAAATTATGCATGATGGAGGAAGAAAAGATAAGTATAGAGGAAGGAAAGCTAAGACTCACCATCACAATGAACTCTGGAGGTAGAAAAGGGAAGAATCAAGGACAGGGCCTCAAGATGCGGCTGAAGCATCTGTTTAGGAGCTGGTGCCATTTAATAAGACGAGGAAGAATAAAGACATAGGTTTGGCATCTGTGGGATATCAAGTGCTCCATTTTGAGGTACACATCATGTTTGAGATGACTAATACACACTCAAGAGAAAATATGATGTACTTGGCTGGATCTATGAGTGTGGAGAAAGTTTTAGACTTAAGATAAGAATTTTAAGTCATGAGTATACAAATATTTTTTAAATATCTGGACTGCATGAAACTAAATGAGATAATTTAAGAAGAATGAGTAGAGAAAGGGGAGAGCCCAGGACAAGGGCATTCCTAGTTTTAGAGTTTGGGGAGAGGAATACGCAGAGAACATGAAAAGTCCATCCAGAGACATCAAACCGTATCTATGCTGATCAAACAAATAAGCAACATGGGTTTTAGTAACAAAGGGTTACAACTGGAAAATCAGAATGTAGGATCTACAGAGTGCGATCCAAGAGTACTGAGGTAAAATATTCAATAATCGCCTTGTTACTAAATCGTTCCCCTCTCATTCTGACTGCACACCAAAATGAAACTTTTCTAAGACACCAATCACTTATTTAATAGTAATATTGTAGATAATACTCCAATTTTCTATTAGGTATGATACAACCTCACATGATCTAATATATCCAGACACACATATAACCATCTGAAATTTAAAAATAAGTCCTTGGGCCATCTACCCACATCCCATGTACTGACTGGTGGAAATACCACCTTCTTCAATCATAATGTAACTGTATATAGAGCTGCCCCATAAAAATTTCTGCAGTGATGGAAATATTCTATATCTGTGTTTTCCAATATGGTAGCCACTAGCCATGTATGGCTGTTGAGCACTTGAATGTGGCTAGAGTTGACTACAGAAATAAATTTGTAATTTTACTGAATGTTAATGAAATTTAATTAAATGTTAAATTTAAGTAGCCCACATGTGGCCAGTGCCCAACACACTGGACAGCACAGGTATAGACCATCATATCCTATATTTGCCATTATAATATGTTTAATATACTCATCTCCAAATTTTCTACTTTCCACTAATGCCAGATTCTTCCTTGATCTCTGTTCCTACATCATTTCTGTCACCCGTCAATGAAGAGATTCTGAAGAATCATTCCCATCCAGGATGAAGAAAATATTCATTGTCCTTACCTTCCACTCATCCTAGAACTCCAAGCTATATTTTCCCATTGTTACAATTTTACCACCCAGCTATCAAGAAAGACTACATAGAACTAGCCAAAAAAGACAAGACAAAACCAAAATCACACTTTCTAAGCCAATTATTAACATAAAACCCAGAGTAATCAGCCATTTCTTTGCAGACAGTCTCCTATAGGCCAATCTATTAAGAATCTCCCACACTGCTTTCCTCATTTCCATCTCCAAAGTCTTCTTTTTACATTATTACTGACCCACAAGGCCTTCTGTCAACATTTTTACTTAAAACCCAGCTCTCTTTCTTGCAGAAATTATTTTATAATGCTTTCAAAAAGAAGCACACGTTATCTTCTCAGCAACACTTTATCAAATCTGTTTTCTCTGATTTTGTAAATCAATCCTTGTCTATACCTCATAATAAAATGCTAAAAATTTTAGAATTTTATGCACCTACATCAACCCTTTCCAACAGATTTTTACACTTGTCTTTTATTTCATCTGCATCTCCCTCAGAGCACATTAGAGTTGTGGTTCTTCAATGACAGGGATCAAAGCAGAATTGCCTGGCAAGCCTTTCAAATACCTCATAGGCTCTGGTCACTCCCCACACCTAGCAAACCAGAAGCCGAATCTCAAGAGACAGAGCCTGTAGTTGGAAAAGGCTCCCACATAGTTCACACATATCCCTGATGAAAAGCAAAATTAAAACCAAAATGCAACCAAACCAAACCTGTTTTGGGGATTCCCTGGTGGTCCAGTGGTTAGGACTCCACGCTTTCACTGCCCAGGGTGCAGGTTCAACCCTTGGTTTGGTACCTAAGATCCGGCAAGCCATGCACCCAGGGGCAGGGTGGGGGACCACCAAACCTGCTTTCATGAAAGATGTGATAAATGGATGCAAGTGATACTGTCAGTGAATTATTCTGTGGTTACGCTAAGTAAGGAAGAATAAGATACAGACCCTTTCCTCTATATGGAAAAAGCCTCATATCAACCAGTAAAACAATACAATAAAATATACGATCAGGACCGAGTTAGTGCGGTGTAGATATGAAAACAGATAGGAAGTCAGGAAAGAGGGAGTTTTGAGTGTGCACTTGAACTTCACAGACAGAAAAAGAGAACTCAGAGTGAAAGAAGGCGGCATCTGGATGTAAAAATGCAATATAATCAAATGCGTAGATGCCAGTCTTTGGGTTATTTGACATAATCTGTGGCATTCAGCAAAATAGATCACTTCCTCCTCTTTGGAGTAATTTTGTCACTTGTTTCCAGGACATCTTCTGACCCTGTTTCTACCAGAGCCCAATGCTTTTCTTTTTATTTGGCTGGGTTCTTATCTTCTCAACTTCAAAAAATAAATGTGGACCTCTTGTTTTCTCAACCAACTCTCACTCCTCATGTTTTCTCATCAAGTCCCACTGCTTCCATGCCCCCTATCCACAGAGGAATACAACCAGAACCTCAAAGGGAGCTAAAAGAAAAACTGAAATCAACCTATATATGTAGGAATTGGAACAAAGCAAGTCTATATCATCATGGCCATCAGGGGACCTGAGAGGGTGGAATTTCCAAAATGCATTTTGAAAACAAAATTCAATAGGAACAGCAGAGACCTTCAGAAATATAGAGCAGAGTAAATAGGAAAGACTCAAGGTAACTCAAAGGTGACCGGGCACCAGGGTGTAGAGCAGTACGGGAGAACCTAAATAAAATGCACAGGGAGGAAAAGGATTCACCAGGAGGAAAAGTGATCTCATTCCTGAAGGTGAAGGAAAAAGGATTTCACAGGACGGATATCTTGGGTGCAGGCAAAATATAGAATGAGAGGGCAGATCAGACTATAGAAAGAGAGGTGGGAATACCTGTTAGAGTGCAGAGAGGTTAAATCTTCTGTATATACGAATACACACTCTGATGGTGAAGACATTATCTGGGAGAAAGGAGGGTTCTGGTTTCACATACAGGAAGTAGAATATCATAGGGCAGAGGCCCTGGTGCCTGGCAACACACAGATTATTAGAGCGCAGGTCATATATTAGCGGGAGTCAACGTGGGACTCTCCAGCAGAGAACAGAAATCTTAGGCCTTAAGAATGAATTAAACTTTTAACAGAAGATTAAAAAAAACGAAAAAAAAAAAAAACAGAATCTGAAAGCTTGGGAAGCAGAGGGTGAATTAGTAGACAGAGGTGCCCTGGGTTACGAGGGGTGTGTGGTTTTCAGATGAATGAAGCTGAGGTGGATTGTCAAGGAATGATATTAATCAGCCCTTTCAAAAGGGATGGGGATATTGCAGAGGTAGGGAGCAGCGCTAAGTGCAAAGCAATGTGAACAGGTAGTGAGATGTATCTCATAGCAGGTAAGGTGAAGAACAGGAAGTGAGGCCCCTGCAGACAAAGAAAAGGAGACGGCATGAGGGGGCATGCTGGGAGGAATGGAACCAGGTTAAGACCTCAGGGTCCTGGATGAGACAAACTGCAGTCAGATCCAGAAAGCTGAAAAAAAAGAAGACATCATCCTTTAGTGGCAGGCAAAGAAGAACAGCCCTGACAAAGAACATGCAGGACTTCCCTGGCGTTCCAGTGGTTGAGACTCCAAGCTTCTACTGCAGGGGGCATGGGCTAGAACGCTGGGAGGGGAACTAAGATCCCACATGCTGCACAGCATGGCCAAATAAAAAAAGAACATGCAGAAAGGTGTTAGGCTTATGGGCCACAAACTGGTGTAAGGAAAGTTCTCTAGACAGCATTTCAGAAGTATCAACCCTTCACTGACCAACTGGAATTTCCATGTCATTTCTCCCCATCTTGGTTGCCACTCACTCACCTGGACAGGTTTGACTCTGGCCTGCTCCCTCTACCCTCCATGGGGGTTCTCCTTGTTCCAACTGGAAGAGTGAATCTGGTTTGGGAGTCTGATATCCTGTAAATAGGAAATCACGGAACGCTTGGCACCGAGCATTTGAGCCTGGGGAAACTACGAAAACTGGAGACAGTTCTATTTCAAGGACCGCACCCTTCATACTTTGGTAAAGTAAAAACCTTTAACTCGGAAAGGGAAAGAATACACTCTAGAACATATGATGCTTTAGTCCAAACCATGAAATATTCCAGGAACCCTACAGATTTCACTAAATGGGAAAGAAAAGGCAACTGACTATGATGCTGCCTGTTGGGCTGCACCCTGCAGGCCTACAAGACCGTACTTGCCCAGCTTCAAAACTGAAGAAAGAGCCTGGAGTCAGCGACAGAGACATCAATGGTTTCATGGATGGGGGAGCTTATGTGTCTGAAGCAAGGTCCTGGAGTGGCACCCCACCGTGTGCGGTAGATGGCGGGCAGGACGTGGCGGCAGTCTTCGCTGGGGGTGGGGGTGGGGGTGTGTTACCAGTTATAGGGGAAACTGACGTCAGGTTGGCTCATTGGTTACCAGGGAAACCAGCAGAAGGGCAGGTTCCTCACCACCCTTATGATATCCTATCAGAGTAGAGATGTTCTGGTCTAAAGCTAGAGAGATCAGTAGCTGGGGCCTGGAGCAAGGATGCATGAAGGTCAGTCACGTGAGTTCAGGAGAAGCAGGCACTTGTCAAGCAGGGGATGGACAGAGAGCAAGAGAACAGCCATCTTGGGCGGTCTGACCATACACTGCCCTTACCTACTGACACTAGGTTGCAGTAGTTCTCCAACATGACATTTCTGTACAGGTCCTTCTGAGATGGGTCCAGTAACTGCCACTCTTCCCAGGTGAAACGTACAGCCACGTCCTCAAATGACAAAGATGCCTGTAATAACAAATTCCAGTGCAATCCGAGGTGGAATATGATGTGGAAAATAGGGACAGGAACACGTTCTGCTCATCTTCCCCATAATAAATTATGTGCACTGTGACTGTGACTATTTCACATACCATAGACCATGTGTCTTAGTCCGCCTGGGTTGCTATAACAAAATACCACAGACTGGGTAGCTTATAAAAACAAATTTATTGGGACTTCCCTGGTAGTCCAGTGGTTAAGACTCCATGCTCCCAATGCAGGGGGCCTGGGTTTGATTCATGGTCAGGGAACTAGATCCTGCATGCCTCAACTAAGAGCCCGCATGCCACACCTAAAGATCCTGCATGCTGCAACGACAGCTCCCGCAGGCCTCACTGAAGATCCTGCACATGGCAACGAGGATCCCACACGCCGCAGCTAAGACCCAGCTCAGCCAAATAAATAATAAATATTTAAAAATATATATTTCTCACAGTTATGGAGGCTGGGAAGTTCTAGATCAAGGTGAATGCATGGCTGCATTCTGGTGAGGGCCTGCTTCCTGGTTTGTAGTGGGCACCTTCTCACTGTGTTCTCACATGGAAGGGCGAGGGATCTCTGTGCATTCTCTCTTATAAGGACACTAATCCCATTCGTGAAGGCCTCACCCTCATAACCTACACACCTCCCAAAGGTGCCACCTCCTAATACCATCATCTTTGGGTGTTTAAGATTTCAACATATGATTTTGGGGGGAACACAAACATTCAAACCACTGCCCCATGGAATTCTACAAATTAGTCCTTTCCAGCCTAAAAAAGTACTAAAATAATATTTTCATAGAAATAAAAAACACTGTGCAGTAAGAATGTCTTTGTTTATAAGTATGAAAAATCTATCAATAATTTAGATATCCATCAGAGGCAGACAGGGTACCCTATACCTCCATGCTATGAAATACTATGCAAACATTAAAATCAATGAGGTAGACTTATTTTTCATTTTTATTTTTTAATTTACTTATTCAATTTATTCATTTTTGGCTTGTTGTGCCTTCGTTGCTGCACGTGGGCTTTCTCTAGTTGTGGTGAGTGGGGGCTACTCTTCGTTGTGGTGCACGTGCTTCACATTGCAGTTGCTTCTCTTGTTGTGGAGCATGGGCTGTAGGTGTGCAGGCTTCAGTAGTTGTGGCACGTGGGCTCAGTAGTTGTGGCACACGGGCTTAACTGCTCTGCAGCATGTGGGATCTTCCTGGACCAGGGATCGAACCCGTCTCCCCTGCACTGGCATGTGGATTCTCAACCACTGTGCCACCAGGTAAGCCCTCAATGAGGTAGTTTTAAATATACTGGTACCAATGACCTTCAATGAAAAAAATCAAGTCCCCAAATAGTATATACAGTATGATCCCAGACATGTGAAAAATCTTAATAATATATTCAGCTATATATGTACAAGGACACATTTCAGGCTGCTGCCAGAAATGATGATCTCCCAAGCCTGGAACCTTCATCTTCTATTATTGAAATGTTCCTTCTTCTTCTTCTATTAATGTAAATGTAGATATATTTTACCACACATCAATTATAGAAAGACACTGGGGGGAGACCCAAACTATTAATATTTGTTAAACTTTGGGTTGGGAGTTTGGCAAGAAAAGGTAAAACAGGATATTCTCTTTTGGTGCAGATACCTCTGTGTGCTTGAATCTCTTGCATGCAAATGTAGCCATGTATCATTTGAATAATTAAAATACAAAGACCAAACCAAGAATAATTGACTCTGACTTCATTTTTTGAACCTAGGGTTAAGAAGAAATAAAGGGAGAATTTTCATCAATATCTGTTACACCAAGCTGCTCGCGAAGAATGGAACTGTCAGCTGTTTCCTGCCAAATCAATAACAAAAATCTGGTTGAGAGAATTCTTCTTCATGGAGGACAACTCAAAGGTCAAGCAGCCCATTAATTCTATTGGATAATCCAGGCTTTATTCCTGGGTAAAGTCAGACTATTAGAAGGCTCTATTGTCAAGGCACATTGCTTTAGAAGAATTTTGTCCAATTCAATTCTGCTCTGGCATGCCTAGTCCGAGGAACACGATTAAGAAAAAGCCAGAGGAAACATCTTAGGCCTTTATTACAAAACTGATAATGAGAATTCTGTCTATCAAAAAACGTCTCTGAAGAGCTAGCAAAAGAAATTTCTTAAGACTGAAGAGCTGACTTCACTGGTGGTGCAGTGGTTAAGAACCCGTCTGCCAATGCAGGGGACACAGGTTTGATCCCTGGTCCGGGAAGATCCCACATGCCATGGAGCAAACAAGCCTGTGCATCACAACTACTGAGCCTGCGCTCTATAGCACGTGAGCCACAACTACTGAGCCCACATGCCACAACTACTGAAACCCACACACCTAGAGCCCGTGCTCTGCAACAAGAGAAGCCACCACAATGAGAAGCCCACGCACCACAATGAAGAGTAGACCCCGCTCGCTGCAACTAGAGAAAGCCTGTGCATAGCAACGAAGACCCAATGCAGCCAAAAGTAAATAAATAAATAAATTTATTTATTAAAAAAAAAAGATTGAAGAGTGGTGAAATGTGTAGTTCCCCTAAAGAACTGGTGTGCCTTCTCCTCACAGACAATGCAAATCATGTAACGTTTCACATTTTTCCTGTTATAATGGCTGCCAAGAAAAGTAGACTCAAGTTCAAAACTAAGGCAACCTGAGGGTCTTACACAGTCACCTACCTATGCTCCAACATTAAGAACTTTGTACGAACCCTAGAGCCCTCATATCTTGCTTCTGAACTTGCCTTGATTTTAAGATTACAGGCTAAATTTATTTTCCAACAGATGCTGATTTTTATCAACATATACTGTTCTCATTTCACCAGACTTTTTTAGAAGCATCCACAAGTCCACCGGGAAACAAAGGATAAAATCAATAAAACAAACCTCACCTGGACCTTGATCATCTTCTCCAGTTCTTAAGAAAGGGCGTGTCGGGAATTCCCTGGCAGTCCAGTGGTTAGGACTCTTGCGCTTTCACTGCCAAGGGTGTGAGTTCAATCCTTTGTCGGGGAACTAAGATCCCACAAGCCGAGCGGCTCGGCCAAAAAAAAAAAAAAAAAAGGCATGTAACTCTAGGGTGTGTTCTGGTGTTCTGTCTTCTGTCTCTGTGGGCCTGCCTGGAAGTTGTGATCAGAGATCTCAGGTCAGGCTGCTGCCAGAAATGATGACCTCCCAAGCCTGGAACCTTCTTCTTCTTCTATTACTGAAATGTTCCTTCTTCTTCTTCTATTACTAGAACCTGTGAATTCAAGAGCAAATTCAATGATTGAGCCTGGGACCACAGCGCTCTCTCCCTTGCTATGCGAACTCACACTAAGAGAAGGGGACCCAATATTTCATGTCTCTTTAACCCTCTGAAAGCTTTTACATCATGGGGCTGTGCCTCACAGGAAGATATGGAATGGGCGAGAGGGATGCCTTTTATTTTCGTAAAGTGGAAGAGAGTGAATGTGGAAGAGGAGATGGGAAACAAAAACCAGCTCATGGTCTTGTCACATAGATCCATTTCAGAAAAGATAAAGTACAAAAATGGTGGCTCTATAAACAACAAGGTCCTACCGTATAGCACAGGGAACTCTATTCAATATCCTACGATAAACCATACTGGAAAAGAATACAAAAAAAACGGAATGTATATATATGTATGGCTGGATCAATTTGCTGTACAGCCGAAATTAACACGATATTGTAAAACAACTATACTTCAAAAAAAAAATTTTTTAAAAAGGTGGCTCTGGAAACTGACTTAAAACCACCTGAGCCCACATACATCTAAATTTTCTGTTTACTGTACTGAGGCAATTATCCCAGTTTAAAGATCAGGGTACTTAACGGATCACAAGCCATATCTTATGTAATCCTCAACACTGTTCTGTAAGGTCTTCATTATTATCTCCAATTTTAAACACCAGTAAGTTGAAGCTTGGTCAGGTGAAGCGTGTTGCCCAAGTTAACACCCTTCCTCAGGAGCAATGTGGGAATCTGCATTCATATCTGCGCCTCTCCATTATGACACTTCCCTCTTCCAACAGCCTCACAATACAAACTTGTTCTCTTTCTCAGGCACTTTAAGAACTAAACTTCCCTGGTGTATCATACTGTGAGGGGGCCATACAGTCACAGTTGCAAAAACAGGGCCTTTGGAATCAGCTCTTGTCATATTCCCTGTGCACATCCAGACAGCTCCCTCCACACAAGGAATGCAAAGGAAGCCCCATCCGTGCCTCCGGTTCAATCCCTGGTTGGGGAACTAAGTCCCACATGCAGGAAAAAAAAAAAAAGAAAGAAAGAAAACAAAAGAAACTCACACTCTGAGGACACGAACACCATAAGGTCAACTTGAATTTTGTTTCCATCCCATGAGGCAGCAAATTATTCTTAAAGACTCTCTTGAGCTCTCCTGAATCCTCCACACCCAGAGAGCTTGTCTCTGCCCATTCTCTGACCAATTACTGGTAAACATACTGGTGAACATGCACACCACCCCCATCTCCAATCCTGAGACCACTCTGTCCCAGCCCCAGCCCCAGCCCTTCAGTCTAGCGTCCCTGCAGTGCAGCCCAAAAAGAGATGGTACACATCTCAAGTGCAGAATTCCTTATGGACAGGAGAGAGGTAGGAAGAGGTGGTTAGGCTGGAATGGGTTGGAACTGAGATCTCTACTGTGGGAGGATGAAGGACCCAACGATTCCCAGAAGCTCCTTGCCTGACTTTCCCTCACGCCCAGCAGATCAGGGCTGCACCAAATGCTCATGCCTGGAACACATCAGTGAAACTGAGAATAGCAATGGAACTACCCCCATTGGGAAGACTAATCTGCGTTTCCTACCAAACTGAGGCTAAGGTCAAGTTCCCAGGTGGATGGTTACTGAAATAAAATAGGCGTTTTCTTAACAAAGGGGGCAGGGATGTCAGGTTGGCAGCCAAAAGGAGCCAATAAATAATACGTTAGGGGAAAAAGTCTAAATGGTATTGAAAAAACAGTTCATTAAATTTGGTACTGCTTTTGCTACAAACCCATAATAGGCTTGGAATGGAGTGGCTACTTTCCTTAGACTCGCTGGGGTACAATGGGAAATAGATAGCCAGCCTTTGTCCTGGGTTCCTGGCACACAGCTCCTAAAACCCTTGGAATCTCTGCAGTGACAAGAGTATCTTTTGTATGCTAATGAGATTATAGTGGCTGGCGCCCAGAACACCAAGGCATGATTAAAGGATTGAAACATTGAGCCCCACCACTGGCCCTCTGGGGAAGGGGGAGGGACTGGAGATGGAGCCTAACCATCAATGGCCAATGATTTAATCAAGCACGCCTATGTAATGGAACCTCCATTAAAATTCTTAAACCACAGGGTTTGGAGAGCTTCTGAGTTGCTGAACATTCTGAGGTGCCTGGAGGGTGGTCAACCCAAGTCCATGGAGCCAGAAGCTCCTGTGATCAGGACTCATCTGGACCTTGCCCTGTGTACCTCTTCATCTGGCTGTTCTTCTGTATCCTTTATAATAAACTGGTAATAGTAAAGTGTCTTCCTGAGTTCTGTGAGCTGTTCTGGTAAATTACTGAACTGGAGCGGGAGGCATGGAAACCTCCAACTTATAGCCAGCTGGCCAGAATTACTGGTGACACCCTGGGACTTGCAACTGACATCTGAAGTGGGGGCGGTCATGTGGGACTGAGCCCTTAACCTGTGGCGGAGGAGGTCTCTGCTGAATCCTGGTAGTGCCAGAACTGAGGTGAACTGTAGGACACCCAGTAGGACATCCAGGGAGTTGGAGAACTGGCCGGTGTGGGGGAAAAGTCATGCACATTTGGTGTCAGTAACACTGTGAAAAAAAAAAAAAACCAACTCACTGATAAAAAAAAAATAATAAACAAAATCTCTGGTAAAAGGATATATAAAATTAACATAACTTATGTAAACTTGTAAAACACACAAAAATATTATATATTGTTTGTAGATACACACACACACTTAAAAGTCCAAAAATAATCATAATGTAAAATTCCAAGTTAGTGGTTACATCTAGGGAGGAAGAGGAAGGAATGGAGTTGGGACCTGTAGTTGACAATTTAATTGTACACGTAACGCTTTATTTCTTTCTAAACTTAAAAAAGAAAAAAGGAAAAAGATTTAAAGCAAAACAAAAACAAAGCGAACATTAAACACTTTATATGCCCAACTGAGAGCCAGTGACACTTTGTAAGCCTTCCTCAGAGGGGGTGCAAGAATCACTGTTTTCATTCATCACTGGTCCGACCATGCTTCCAAATGCAATTAGAAAAAAGAATCAAATAGCAATTGTTAATAGTAGAAAAAAAGAGTTAAATAACCTTCTGCACAATATTACTATAGACCCAGAAAACCCAAGTAATTGAAATGGACAGTAATAAAAAATAAGAGTTTAGTTAGTGCTTGAAACTGACATGAAAATGACATGAAAAATGATAACACTCCTTTAGATAAATACTGTAAGTATTATATGATAGAATATTACTGGGGGATATTCTCACATTATGTACTGAACATTTTCAAAATAAAATCGCTTCTGATCCAACATTCTGTTTTGGGGAATTTATGCAAAGAAAACAGTGGCAAAGTGAGCAAACATATATGTAAGGTTCACAAAACATATGTAAGGTCCACTGAGAGATGATTAATTGAATGAATAGTTACAATCCATCTAATGGAAAATTCTGTAATAATTTAAAATTTTAACATACTTCCTGAAATTAAAAATGTCCATAATATACAGCTCAGTGAACAAAGCACATTTCTACCCATTATGTATCATATGATTCTGTATTTCACAAAAGGAAATATAACAATGTTAAAATTATTATGGTAGGGGCTGCCCTGGGGGCTCAGTGGTTAAGAATCCGCCTGCCAATGCAGGGAACATGGGTTTTATCCCTGGTCCGGGAAGATCCCACATGCCACGGAGCAACTAAGTCCGTGTGCCACAACTACTGAGCCTGTGCTCTAGAGCCCGCATGCTACGACTACTGAGCCCGTGCGCCACAACTTCTGAAGCCCACAAGCCTAGAGCCCATGTTCCACAACAAGAGAAGCCATCAAACGAGAAGCCTGCGCACCGCAATGAAGAGTAGCTCACGTTCGCCGCAACTAGAGAAAGCCCGCGCGCAGCAACAAAGACCCAACGCAGTCAAAAATAAATAAATAAATTTTTAAAAATTATATAAAAAATTATTATGGTTGGTTCAATAGATTAGGATGTGAATTTTACATCTTTTTCAATGAGCACAAAATATTTTAAATTAAAATTAAAAATTTAAATTTTAAAATTTTAAATTAAAAACATCCCCACTTGAAATAAAAGTAAAGATGTTGCCAAGTCATTATAAATCAATAACCATATATGCTTTGGAAGGAATGGAGGGAAGGCAGAAGGGAACAAGTCATTTGTCCCATAGGATATACTACCTTCTGGATTTGGCTGATTGCTTCCTTATCCTTCCTCACCTCCCCTACTCTCAGTTTTTCCTATAAACTGGGTAGTTAAATTAGAGGTTTGATTATTTCTATATTTAACTTTTTAGGCAAGAATCCTTCATTAATGATGCTGTATGCTTCTTAGCACAACATATTGAGACATGAGGACAAAATAAAAAATGGAAGAGGGACTGTTATAGAATAAAAGGGATCTAATGGATAAACAACAAGCTCCTACTGTATAGCACAGGGAACTGTATTCAATATCCTGTAATAAAACATAATGGAAAGGAACATGAAAAGGAATATATATACATATAACTGAATCACTTTGCTAGACAGCAGAAATTAACACAACTTTGTAAATCAACTATACTTCAATAAAGTTAGTTTAAAATAAAATAAGATAAAATAAAAGGGACCTAAGAGATATAAGAAGCAAATGTAACGCACGTACATTACTTGGATCATGATGCAAACAATCCAATGTTAAATGACAACTTTGAGATGATCATAAAAACACTGAATATGGACTGGATATTGGATGAAATAAAAGAATTGTTATTAACTTTGATACATTTGAAAACAACCTTCTGGTTATAAATTTTTTAAATGACCTTACAAGTTAGAGATGCATACTGGAAGATTTACAAGTTTAAGGACATGAAACCTTGGATTTGCTATGAAACGCTCCAAAGGAAAAACAAAAGTGGTGGCGGCACAGATGAGCATGATTGGCCACGCTGAAGCCGAGTGATGGGTACATATTACACTATTCTCTCTACTGTGAGTTTCCATGAAAAAAAGAAGAAAAAAGTCATTAGGGCTTTATGAGTTCTACCTAATCTGTACAGTACAGACGATGCCAATATTATGTAAACTCTCACACATCACAGAAAACGATGAAAAGTTTCTCAACTAATTGTATGAAGCAGGCATTTCAAAATACTAATTGATAGATTAGAAGAAAGAGACCTATAGAGATAGATGTTTATTCATTGATTTTCATCCTTCCTTCTTTTCTAACATATGTATTTGAGGCTATAAATTCCCTCCACTGACTCATTTAGTTGAATTCAACAAGAACTGACATGTAGGATAAAATGCAATTCACTCGACTATATCTCAATTTTAAAAATGCAATTCAGACATTTCCACTGTAATTATTTTTGATTCATGGATGATTTAGATGGGTTATGGCATACTTGCCAAACAAATGGGGAAATTCTAGGTGTTGTTTTGGTATTGCTTTAGAGCTTAATTCCACTGCAGTTAAAGAAAATATTCTGTATGATTTCAATCCTTTGAAATTTGTTTAGACTTGCTTTATGGCCCACCATACAGTAATTTTTTAGAAATGTTCTATGTGCGTTTGAGAAAAATTGTTGAATGGAGAGTTTTATATTGGTCAGTTTTTAAATCATGTTATTCTAATCTTTTAGGGGTCAGCACTGATGGGCTGGTGAACTGTTTTTGTAAATAATGTTTTCTTAGAACACAGGCACACCCATTTTTTTATGTATTCTCAAAAGCTCCTTTCATGTTACGGTGGCGGAGTTGCATAGGTACAGACAGAGATCACTGGGCTTGTAGAGCTTAAAATATTTACTATCTACCCCCTTACAGAAAAAGTTTGCTGGCCCATGAATCTATAGCCTTCTGGATTTTTGTCTCCTTGGTCTCTGTTACTGAGACAGGTATATTAACATGTACCTGTTACGACTGAGCATTTGTCATTTCTCCTTGTATCTAGCATAATTTATACTTCAGGAATTCTACTAAGTATATATCCAACAGCACCAAAATACATGTACAAAAATGTTCACATAAGCGTTATTCATAATAGCCACGAGCCAGTAAAAAGCCAAATGTCTATGAATAGCAGAATGGATAAATAAACTGGGGTATAGTCATAGAACGGAATACTATACAGCAATAGAAAGAAACAATCTACTGCTATATGCAATAACTTAGATGAATTTCACAACAAAATACTGAACAAAGGAAGCCAGAACCAAAAGAACATGTACTGTATGATTCTACTCATATAAAGTTAACAATCAGGCATATTTAATATGATGTTTTTAGGATAATAATTGCCTCTGGAGGGGAGGGAGGAGATAAGGATGAGGTGGGGGCTTCTAAGGTGCTGTAATATTCTATTCTTTAATTTTTAGTGTTATACTTGAAAAAAACTTTTAAAGGAAAGTACAGATCAGTTTCGCCTATAAATTTTCACAAATTTTTAAAAAAATTTCAAGCAAAAGATGGAACAGTATAATTAAACGTCATGTACAAAAAAAAAACCCAACAAAGAACAGTATAATCAAACTCCACACATCCATCATGTGACTTCAATAATTATCAACTCAAATATAATTCTTTTTATATACACCACCACTCACTTCCCCACCACCACTGGATTATTATTTCCCCCCACACACATTATTTTTGAAGCAAATCCAAAACATCTTTTTATTTCTAGATGCAAAAATATTAAATAAAATATTAACAAATAGAATCCAACCCCATGTTAAAAAAACAAATCATTATGAACAAGTATGGTTTCTTCTAGGAATATAAGATATTGGGAAATCTAGCAACATAAATCAAAGGAAATTTTAAAGAGAAAGAAATTATGAATGAAAATAAAATTAAAAAGCCTTTGAGGGGAATCTAATATACAGCATAGTGATTACAGTTAATAATACTGTATTATATACTTGAAAGTTGTTTTTAAAAAAAGTAGATCTTTTAAAAAAAAAAAAGTAGATCTTTAATGTTCTCACCACAAAAAAGAAATGCTAATTATGTGACATAATGCAGATGTTAGCTAACTTATGGTGGTTTGTTTTGCAATACATAAGTGTATCAAATCAACACGTTGTACACCTTTGAACTTATAGAATGTTTTATGTCAATTACATCTCAATAAAGCTGGGGGTGGGGAAGGCTTGGAGAAAGAATAATAACTTGATAAAGTGCAGGTACCATTTATCCAGACTATACCATGTGCCAGGCACTACACTTTGTACTTAAAGAACTTTTGCTCATTTAATCTTTCTAACAGCTATGAAGTGGGAACCATGACAGCTTTCTTCACAACTGATGAAGCTTAACTCAGTGATTAACCTACCCAGGTCAGAGGCAGAAGCAGGTTCTTCTTACTCCAGTCCCATCACTTGCTACCTGGCCAACATTATTTGCAGATGACAAAAATGCTCAACTAGAAAAGATGAAGTAATCAATTTGAAGCTATCAGTAATAACATGAGTGGAATGAGGTGACAAAATCAGCATATCTTTTTAATTTTTGCTCTTGTGCATTACATAAAAGAAACAAAAAAGAGGAAGCGGAGTCATATGGGGAAAAAATGACACCATTTACAGTTACAACAAAAGTGTAAACTACTTACAAATAAACATAATAAAACATGTCCAAGACACATACAAAAAAAAAATCACAGCTGGTCAAAGAAAAAACAAAAAAACTTGAGTTAGAGGAAATCCATCACGTGTTCTTGAAAGTGTAGTACCTAGATCTACATCAGTTCTACCTCAATCAAAACACCCACGTGATGGAACATAACTGGAACAGTTTTTGTTTTTGCGGTACGTGGGCCTCTCACTGTTGTGGCCTCTCCCCTTGCGGAGCACAAGCTCCGGACGCGCAGGCTTAGCGGCCATGGCTCACGGGCCCAGCCGCTCTGCGGCACGTGGGATCCTCCCGGACCGGGGCACGAACCCGTGTCCCCTGCATCGGCAGGCGGACTCTCAACCACTGCGCCACCAGGGAAGCCCTGGAACAGTTTTTTTCAAAAGAAAAGAAAGAAGAAAACTTCCAAAGAGTTTGTAATATGGAAATCGTTATGACAGGAAGTTAGATAAAAATATATAACATTATACCAATACCTACACACCTGATCCCAACGCCAAAAATGAGATATACTAAATTTAAACAAGAGTTGTTTTCTGGAGGCGTATTTAGGAGGATGAGAATGTCATTACTTGGGTCGGGATGAACCTGAAAACCTATTTTCAATAGGAATATACAGTAAACATGGACGCAAGAAGACCAGAAACCCCATTTCTAAATTAAATATGCGATAAGCTCCCCAAACGCTGTCCCCAACGCGGATACGACTCCCAATCCCCCCAACCTCAGCCACCCCAAACGCTACTCTCCAAAAAACCTCCTAAGTTCTCGTCCCAACACGGAACCCCGTGACCTCCCTTTCCATGGGAAACTCTCAACACGGATTCCCCGACTGATCCGCTAACACACAACACCCCAGCGAGGATCACCACTCGCTTCCCCCCAACACCGACCTCTACGTCGTTTGGAACAAAAACAGCAAAACACCCCAACGCGCTCTCCCTGGCCCCGAGACACGCCCAGAACCGGACACTGACCTGATGGATGAACTCCGTCTTCACCGTTGGAGGCAAATCACGATACCGCTGTTCTAAACACTTTGCCTCAATGTCTGCAGCCCGGCGACCAACCCACGCGGCGGACACGACCCTCAGAAGCTGAAAGGATGGTGGCCGACGAGGTCCAAAAACCGCAGTTCCAGAGACCCCGGAATCTGGCTCCTCCTGGTCCTTCTATGACGCAATATTTCCGCGCCGGTTTCGAGGGTCTTTACCGGGAGCCGCCATTTTCCCACGTACTGCCGAACGACGGGGGAGGTCTTCCTTTTCCTGCATTCCGCGGGAAGGTCAAAAACGGTGAGAAGCAGTTGAAAACGACCTATTTCACCCCCTTTCCAGGTCACTTGATCCGTTGGGCCCCGACTTTGCAGCATTCGCCAGGGGCGCTGCACAAAAGCTTAGCTTCTCGGAAAGTCAAGCCTGCCCGGATCACTGCAGGGAGCGCAGAGATGGTCGCGGACATGAAGGCACTTTGATTTAAAGGATAAAGAGAAGCTAACAAGCGCAACCATCTCAAAGAAATTTAGGGGCGAGGGGAGGGACCCAAGCCAAGCCTAGCAACAATTGAAGGAGAACCGGCTAGTGGAATGCTGGCTGGAGGGGGTGTTGGAGGAAGCTGCATTTAAGGCCATTGTAGGGTTTAGAGAACCGCTGAGGAGGGCATTGGTCTGAGAGTGGGCAAAATGCAGGATTATACAGCTCTTGTTCTGACTGGTGTGGAGGGAAATGGGGAACACGGTCCATCAGGGGCTGGCAAAAGGGGCTGAGGCTGCGAAGAAGCGTGGTTCCCCCAACCACGGTGGGAAGAGCCAGGGCTTCCACAAAGATGGGAAATACTTTAAAGCAAAAGCTCTGAGAAAGGGACTTCCCTGGTGGCGCAGTGGTTAAGAATCCACCTGCCTAATGCAGGGGACACCGGTTCGAGCCCTGGTCCAGGAAGAACCCACATGCCGCAGGGCAGCTAAGCCAGTGTGCCACAACTACTGAGTCTGCGCCTGGCAGCCACAACTGCTGAGCCCGTGTGGCACAACTACTGAAGCCTGGGCACCTAGAGCCCGTGATTTGCAGTAAGAGAAGCCCCCGCACCGCAACGAATAGTATCCCCCCCCCGCCGCAATTAGAAAAAACCTGCGCGCAGCAACGAAGATCCAATGCAGCCAAAAATAAAATAAATAAATTTATTTTTTTTAAGAAAAGCTCTGACAAAGGGAAGTGATTCTGTTAAGTATTGCAGCCCAACTGATTAAACCCCACTCCCTATAATTGTACAACCTGGCTCAGAGAACCTTCGAAGTAAAGAGGTTAATCATTCATTTATTGACCCAGCAGATGTTTATAAAATGCGTACTGCGTGGCAAACAGAGGTCTGGGTGCTGGAAATATGAAAGGTATAAAAGCAGACAAAAATAACACTTTTTTTTCGTGGAGCTGTACATTGTACTGTTACAGATTAGGGTTCTTGGACTCTTTAATCAATAGAAATTGGTAACAGGCCAGATAAGAAACTCAGGCAAGGCTTTATTGTGATTGGTGCTGCAGCAGGAGGGAGAGAAAACAAGTAACAGGTTCCCTTTCTTGCTGGGGGTAGGGGGGTGGGGAGTTGGTCCCTTACATGGGGTGAGGGTAGGGCGCAGGTCTAGGGGTGGGGCAGGAGGGTGGTTTAGGTAGTCTGCCCATCCCCTGTAGGGCTGTGTGCAGGGATTAAGCACAGGACCCTGGCTTTTGCTCTCAGTACCTCAGAAGTGGCAGTTGGGTTTTGGTCTTTTATCTTGTTCATAATTGGCCCCAACTGTGCATGCACAGCAGTTATTTTTAGTCCCTTCTATTGTAGTTTCATTGTATTCTGTTGCTGGAGGAGACTTTTGTCCAGGTGCAAGCACTGCAGCAAAGTGTCCCAGATTCCAGCCTGTCTCACTACTGGTGTGCAGAATGGAAAAGTAAAGTTACTTGGTTTTATTTCCTCGTTGTAGCGAGTGTTATGATTCCCACCTACAACAGTGACCTAAAATGCTTGGAGGGTAGAGCATTGAACAAAAGACTTTAGTCTGTAGCCTTAAGATCTAATGGAATTTTTTTCTCTAGCTTTTGGATTTGCGTGGGACATGTCACCCCTTTTTTCCTTACGATTTATCTCTCTTAGAATGGGAATATCTATCCCACCTCTGTCCCACTATTGTATTTTGGAAGCACATAACTTACCTGTTTTCAGGGGTCCAAAGCTGGAGAGGAGTTTTGCCTCAGGGTGAATTGTACCTCAAGTCTTACACATATCTGACTTAGATGAGACTTCGGATATAGACTTTTTTTTTTTTTAACATTGTATTTTATTTTATTTTATTTTGGCTGCATTGGGTTTTCGTTGCTGTGTGGGCTTTCTCTAGTTGCGGCGAGTGGGGGCTACTCTTTGTTGCAGTGCGTGGGTTTCTCATTGCTGTGGTTTCTCTTGTTGCAGAGCATGGGCTCTAGGCGCACGGCTTCAGTAGTTGCGCTGATGGGCTTAGTTGCTCCACGGCATGTGGGATCTTCCCATCCCAGGGATCGAACCCATGTCCCCTGCACTGGCAGGCGGATTTCGACCACTGCGCCACCAGAGAAGGCCTGGATATAGATTTTAGAGTTAACGTTGGAATGAGTTAAGACTTTTGGGGCTGTTGGGATGGAATGTATGTATTTTGCATGCAAGAGGGACATGAAATGGAGGGGACAGGACCAGTGGAGGAATATTATGGACTGAATGTTTGTGTCTCCTCAGATTCACATATTGAAGCCCTAAGACCCAGTGTGGCTCTAATCAGAGATGGGGCTCCTAAGGTAAGTAATTAAGGTTAAATGAGGTTGTAAGTGTGGGGCTCCAGGAAGTTTAGTGTCCTTATTTATAAGAAGAGAAACCAGAAAGCAGTGTCTCACCAGAAACTATATCTGCTGGAACCTAGATCTTGGACTTCTAGCCTCTGGAACTATGAGAAAACTAATTTCTGTTGTTTAAGCCACCTACTCTGGTATTTTGTTATGGCAACAAGAGCAGTCTAATACAGTGGTGAATTACATTGTTTATAAAATTAGACAACTTTTAACCGACTTTGCATTCTTTGGATAAACCCAATGTAGTCATGAAGTATTTATCTTTTTAAAATGTTGCTTAATGTGTTCAGTAGAAATCTGGGAAACATTTGTGGGGTCATGGTGGAAGGAATATGATTTTGGATCAAGCAAATTTAATATGGGCTTACTATGAATTGATTCTGGCTTTTATGTGTGAGCTCAGTGAGAATGGCTCTAACAGTTTGCTTGGTTGGTTGACTGAAACTTGACTCAAAGGTGAACTACATTAAAGTTTAAATGCCAGAAATTCCTTGTTCCATATTCTGTAAAGTATCCAAAAGTATATGGAATTAGGAATGCTAATGTAGATTTATCATGTAAAACCAGCTTATCCATCCCCTAAATACATATCCCAGGAGCATCCAGAAGACAGTCTCTTCAATGAAGCTAATCTGGCTACAGAAAATGGAAGTATACTATTATAAGATTCTGTCACTATACACGAAGAGGTATATATAATAATACTTATACTGACAAGTTATAAGTTTACATGCTGTAAACTAAAGGAACCACTTAAATAACGAAATTATGGGGAATTCCCTGGTGGTCTAGCAGTTAGACTCCGTGCTTCCACTGCTGGGGGCCCAGGGTTCAATCTCTGGTCAGGGAACTAAGATCCCACAAGCCGCACATGGTGCAGCCATAAATAAATAAACAAATAGATAAATAAATAAATAAATAAATAAGCCAACAAAGAAGATAAATAATCATAAGACATACTCAGTTACTCCAAAAGATGGTAGGAAAAGGGGAGCAAAGAATAGATGGGGGCTTCCCTGGTAGCACAGTGGTTAAGAATCTGCCTGCCAATGCAGGGTACACGGGTTCGAGCCCTGGCCCGGGAAGATCCCACATGCTGCGGAGCAACTAAGCCCATGCGCCACAGCTACTGAGCCTGCGTTTCACAACTACTGAGGCTTGTGTGCCGGGAGCCTGTGCTCTGCAACAGGAGAGGCCACGGTGATGAGAAGCCCATGCACCACAACAAAGAGTAGCCCCCGCTTGCTGCAACTAGAGGAAGCCCACGCACAGCAACGAAGACCCAGCACAAGCCAAAAATATAAATTAAAAAAAAAAATAGATGGGATGAATAGCAAATTGTACATTTTTAATCTCAACCTAACTACATTCTCACATTAAACATAAATGATTTAAACACCCCAATAAAAAGACATATTGTCAACTCGATAAAAAAGCAAGGCCTAACTATATGTTACCTTCTAGAAAACCACTTTAAATATTAAGTGACAAATAGGTTAAAAGTAAACCATGTTAAATAGAGATGTGAAAGATATAAAAAGAAAGTCCCAAGTCAAATTTCTAGAGATTAAAAACTACAGTTTGAAAGAAAACATACACTGATGGAATTAATGGCAATTAGACATGGCATAAGAAAAGATTAGTTAACTTGAAGACACAGCAATAGAAACTATCCAAAATGATACAAGGGGCTGTTCTGGGGGAGTCTTAAAAAGCATGATCAGTTTTTTAACCTATTAGGGTATGCAAAAGAAAAGACCAGTGAAGTTGATGACAAGGCAAAAGAAACTCACGTACAAAGAGAACAAAAGCTAATAAAAGCTTTTATTAAAAAGAGAAAAGCCTTGAGTTCTCAGCCAATGGGGTAAGAGGTATCATTGTGAGGAACGCCAGATGGAAATCTCTCAAACTGCCCTCCACTCTCTTCTCAAGATAGTGAATGAAGAAACAATATTATGGGAGGGCTTATAAAATATGAACATGTAACATATAAAATATTTTTTAAACCCCATTACACATTGTTATAATTAACATGTTAATCACTTCTCTGCCTTTTTGATCCAATGGAATACAGTTATAACTGTTTATACAGTTATCATACTGTCCTTGTTTGCTCAATCTAGCATCGTCAGTTTCCGGTCACTTCTGATTGGTTTTTCTCAATATTGGTCACACTTTCTGGCTTTTATGCATGCTTGGTAATTTTTGGTTGGATGACAAACATTGTTAATTAATGTGTTTGCACTCCTATAAATATTCTTGAGGTTTGTTTTGAGATACATTAAAGTTACTTGGAAACAGTTTGGTCCTTTCTGATCCTACTTTAGATCTCAGTTGAGCAAGACCAGATTGCTTATTGGATGAGACTCAGCCAATTAACAATGAGTGCCTACTCTTTGCCAGGCATTCTAGACATCTGGTATATAGGGGTTAACAGAAGGTCCCTAAACAGTAGAAGTACTTGTTACTTCTTCATGAAGCTTACAGTCTAAATTTTACAGACTCTAACTTACATTCAAGACCTTATATTTGAGCACAAACTCAGGAAGATGATATTTGTTATTTGACATTTGTTATATTTCTTCTTTGTATTGAAACTGATATAGCAATGTTTATACATGATCTAAGATCCTCATATATTCCACATTAAAATCCTTAAGAAAACAATTGAGATGTTCTCTTCAAGTAATTCTAAGTTTTTACATCATGTGTTTTTAAAAAATCATTTACAATGCCACTAAGATACCTCATCTACTTACATGCCTCCACTCCTAGCTTCTCCCTAAGGGACCTGACCTCATGCTCTTCCTCAAATTCCAGTTTTCCAGCAGTAGACTTGGTCTGAACCTTAACGCTACATCAGTTTTATGCCAGTCCCTACTGACATTACTCCTGGCTACAGCTCAGTAATTACAGAGATTCTGAAAATATTTGCCAGATTGGTTAAAGGCCTATAGTATTCCAGTCTAGAACCAGATTGAGCCCACACTTCCAGAGCTCCTTGACCTATTCCCAATCTGATTCAGTCGATCCAGCTCTGTGAAGTATGATACCAGGCCACAGTTGATTCTATGATGATCTACTTTTCTCTTCCTCATGTGACACTCAAACATGTAAGACTCGAGAGTCCCTTAGTTGAGAGGAAATGGAACCACCCCAACATTCTTCCTGACATCTATATCGATTCCATCAATGAGGCAAAGGGAAGGGTTGGGCAGGGAGCTATCTCCAGAGGGAAGAATGCAGCTGAATAGTTATCCAGTTTAGATTTTCATATTCCCAGGATTCTGAGAATAATTTGGATAATCAGAGAAGAGAGAGCTAGGATGGAAGCAAGAAGAGTCATCTTAATTTGTGTTCAAATTGCCCATTTTATTTTCATGTTTTCAGGAAAAAAACTACCAAGAGTTATGTTGGAATGTATTTTGTTAGTTAATTTATAGGTTTAAATTACTAATTGTCCTTGGGCTTTCAGTTCATTTTGCAAACCTGATTTCACTACCTTTTCAAGTCTAGAAAATTTTAAAAATCACATTTATAGTGACCTTTATGGTATAATGCTTAGTCTTATTTATAAATCGAACTTAAGCTCATCCAAGGACATTAAGTTATATTTATGAATTTAATATTCATTTCTGTTGTGAGGGAATTCAATTGTCTGAAATAATATTTAAATAAATTTAGAGCCTAAGAAATGCAGCAGCTAATCATATATTGGGTGGGCATTGAAGATAATTTTTTTTTAAAAAAAGAAAAAGAATCCAAAATTAGGAGAAATGAGTATAACATGATAACCTTAACCAGTGATGTGGGGTAGACTGTCTTTCTCCTTAAAATTATGGAATCATAAGCATAGTAACTAGGAATATTGTTCAAGGTTTCCTGTCCAAAAATGTACATCAGGTATATTGTGTAATGTATTATGAAGTGGGAATTGGTACATAAAGCTCTCGAATGTTTCTCATTTTCACAGGCTTTGCTTCACAAGAACTTTAGTAAGATATTCCACAATTAGTGTGTTCACAGTGTTTTATTTGTATATGATTTCATCAGCTAATGGATGGGGCAGAAAACCCTGCCACATTCACTGCCTTCCAAGTTTCTCTCCAGTATGTAATGACACCTATTGAGGGAAGGACTTTACCACTCTCATATTTTTACACACTATAAGCTCACTGATGACCTTGGTAATCACTGATAATAGGGTCTATCTTCCAAAACACAGCTTTCCTAACCTCTGCCTTCATAGGTTTGCTTTTTATACATAACCATATAATCAGCTATACATTATTGCTCAAGGCTTTTCCAAATAGAATGTACCAGTTTTTTCCTATGTGTTTTTTGTGACATAAAATAAGATATAATTGACCACTGAAGGCATAACCACATTCATTGCATTCATGAAGTTTCTCTCCTGCACAAACTCTCTGTTATCTCCTGAGGGTGCACCTCTGGCCTCTGGCTGTTCCATAAGGACTACATTCCTATCTGCTAGGAGCCCACTGATGTTTAATGATGTCTGAGGGGTTGCAGAAGGCATCTGCACAGTCACCATATTAACAGTGTTTTCCCCCTGCATGAGTTCACTAGTATCTAATAAGCTGTGACCCTTTGTGGAAGGATATTCCACCTTCACTGAATCTACTTGTTTCTCTCTTGTGTGTGTCCTCTTATGTTTAACCAAGCATGACATGTGGGAGAAAGCTTTCCCACACTCATTGCATCCATAGGGCCTCTCTCCCGTGTGAGTTCTTTGATGGACAATGAGCATTGTCTTTGTAGTGAAGGCTTTCCCACAGTCACTGCATGCATAGGGTTTCTCTCCTGTGTGAATTCTCTGATGTTTAATGAGTCCTGATTTCTGTGAACAAGATTTTCCACAGTCAGTACATACAAAGGGAGCCTTTCCTGTATGAAATCGCTGATGTGCTATGAGGCATGCCTTCTGGCTGAAGGCCTTACCACATTCAGTGCATCCATAGGGTTTCTCTCCAGTGTGAGTTCGTTGATGTATAATAAGATTGCCCTTCTGTATGAAACCTTTTCCACATTCACTGCATATATAAGATTTCTCTCCTGTATGAATTTTCTGGTGCAGAATGAGCTGTGATTTTCTGGAGAAACCTTTCCCACACTCATTGCATACATGGGGTTTTTCTCCTCTTTTGTTTCTCTGATGTATAACGAGCTCTGCCTTCCTAAAGAAGGCTTTGCCACATTCAGGACATTCATAGGGTTTCTCTCCTGTATGAGTTCTCTGGTGTTCAGTTAGCTTGAACTTTCTGTAGAATGCTTTCCCACATACACTGCATACATGGGGTTTATTTCCTGTATGAGTCTTCTGATGTTCAGTAAGCTGAAATTTCCTGAGGAAGGTTTTTCCACATTCACGGCACTCATGGGGTTTCTCCCCTTTGTGAGTTCGCTGATGTTCAGTGAGCTTGAACTTCTTGGAGAAGGTTTTCCCACAGACACTACATCTGTGGGGTTTCTTTCCTGTATGAATTCTCTTATGTTCATTGAGCCGAGACTTCTTGAGGAAGGCTTTCCCACATTCAGTACATTCGTGGGTGTTCTCTATTTTGTGTATGTCCCGATGATTAATTTCAGTATGAGTTTGCTCATGATCAGCATGGAGAAAGGATCTCCCATCTCCATTAAACTCAGCAGGCTCCATTTTTTTGCAGCTTGTACTCAGGTTGATTACATCTAAATATGATTTCAAAGTTTTCCCATGTAAATCAAATACATCATGATTTGGCCTCAAAGGAAAACAACTTTTGCTCTGATAAATAATATTCTCAAATGCATTCTGTTCATGACACTGTTCCAACCTCTTCAGTATATTTTGGTTTTGCCAGTGTGGCTGCATATGATCATCCACTTTATCAATTTCTAGGAAAGAGAACAATTAACCCTTCCATGAGTATCATATGGAATAAAACTGCTTCAAAAATACCTTGGGGGACTTCCCTGGTGGTCCAGTGGTTAAGACTTCACCTTCCAATGCAGAGGGTGTGGGTTCGGTGCCTTGTTGGGGAGCTGGGATCCCGCATGCCTCATGGCCATAAAACCAAAACATAAAACAGAAGCAATATTGCAACAAATTCAATAAAGACTTAAAAAAAATACCTTGGGGTGAGCTGGCTCTTTAACGGAAAACCTATGATATCAAATATAAAAGAAATTCCAAGTATAAAAGTACCTTATCTTTTTTTAAAAAAAAACTTTTCACAATTGTTAAATATATATAAGATAAATTTTACCATTTTTAAGTGTATATTTATGTGGCATTAAGTACAATCACATTGTTGTACAACCATCACAACCATTCATCTCTAGTTCTTTTTCATCTTCCCCAACTGAAAAACTCTGTATCCATTAAACACTAACTCCTGTCTCTTGGAAATTGTTAAAGACACAGTAATATAAAACACCAAACAACCCAAAAGATAACAGCTGTCAGGGTAAAAATTCTTTACTTTCACTGAAGCCATATTCTATGGGTGGAAAGGGAAACAATAAACAAATACGATAAGGAATAAAGTAGGCAGTTCCAAGTGTGACAGTGATTTGAAGAAGCAAAGGAAATAAGAAGTGGAAGATATCAGGATTTATTTGGAAGGAAGGATAAACAAGACTCACTAATGGATTTGATGTGAGGAGAGGTAACAAAAGAGGGAATCAAAGTGCACGCCTGAGTATTTGGCTTGACCCATTGGGTAGTTGGGTAGTGCCTTTCAACAAGATGAGGAATATCGCCGAACTTCAGAATGTGAGGGAAACCAAGTTCAGAATGTGAGGGAAACCAAGTACATTTTGAAACATATCATTTTTGAGATAATATCCAAGCACAGACACGGAAAAGCCAGTCAGATGATAAGACTTGAGTAAGGTCTTGACTGAAAATAGCAATGTGGAAACATCAGTATGTAAATATTATTTAAGTGGACTTCCCTGGCAGTCCAGTGATTAGGACTTGGCACTTTCACTGCCATGGGCCCAGGTTCAATCCTGGTTGGGGAATTAAGATCCCGCAAGCTGCATGGTGCAGCCAAAAAAAAAAAAAACCCCAAACAAAGAAATATATATTATTTAAGGTCAGAGTATTGTATGAGATCACTTTCTGAGAAACATGAAGACTGAAAAAAGATGAAGGCACAGATGAAAGCTTTAGTCAGTCAACATAGAGTTTTGGGATTCCTAGAGCCCTCTGAAGAGACCCTAACATAACCACGCTGGTAGAGAAAGAAGACGTGGGTGTTAGAACATATACATCAAAGAGGCAACTCAGAATGTTGGACATACAGGTCATGATTTCAAGAAAATTCTAACAGACTCTTGGGTGCTCATCCTGTTGATAAAACTTGCCATTCTTCTTCATTAGGTAGACCATCATCAAATTCACTTTCCCAAAGCACCAATCTCACATTCTAACCTTGCATGGAGCTGTGACACATTCTCATACGTTCCCACAGAAAGGGACACGATGATCCTGATGGACTTTCACAACAGGCTAGTGGGGCACAGTCTTTTTTAGAAGCAGATCTGCTGCACCAGACATGGGAACGCTCACCTTCTTCACTATTCTGTACCTGTATGGATGTCATGGTGGAATTTTTCCCATTTCATTGTCCCTGATATACTAATCTCTCAACTTGCCAACAACAGCGTCTTCTTCCTTAATCATACAGTAATGTCTCTGCTGGCATTAATTAAAGGGTCTTATAGGACCACCTTCCTCCTGAATCAAGACGTGACAATTTTATCTTTAGTTTTTCTTAGAACATCTGGCTATACCTTATTATTTCTATAATGCTGCCACCGAGGTTAAAAATAAGACTATCTAGAGTTAGAATATACAAAACCTAACCTCCACCATGACTCCTTTATTATTAACCATAAAAGTCACAACAGTAAGCCTGGTGATAAAAGTTTACATTACCATGATGTACCCAGTTTATCTAAGTTTCCACTCCACTAGCTCCCCAACAAATACTTTCAAACATTGGTCTCCACATGGCTGGTTTCAGGCCAATCTTTTGACAGTCCCCACATGGCCTTGCACATTTCCAGTTTCTTGCCATGTTTCCTTATCATCTTAATTCAAAACTGAGCTATTTCTCTCACCTAAGATACTTTATGATACTATCACTCTTCATTCTCTCTATACCACTTTAGGCTACTTTTCTTCTAAATTTCTGAAATAGTCTCTATATTTACCATTTACTTGAATTTTGTACAGCCTTCAATGATAGCAGAAACATTTCACAGGTTAAAAAGCTTAATTTGTAAATATTACATGATTTGTCCTAGCTTTGCTCATAAAAATCTTTGCTCTGAAAGACATTTCTTTGTTTCCCACTAAATTTAGTCTCTTCTATCAAAAATACTTAGCATCATCTTCCGTCTGTTTTTTTCCCCTCTCACACTCCATATTGTGGGTTGAATATGTCCCCCAAAGAGATGTTTAAACCCTAACCCCTAGTAGCTATGAATGTGACCCTATTTGGAATCAGGGTCTTTGCATATGTAATCAAGTTAAGACGAGGTCAAAATGGATTGGAGTGAACCCTAATCCAAAGACTGGGGTCCTTCTAAGGAGACAGAGATTTGGCTACAGACACACAGAGACATACAGGGAGAAGGTCATGTAATAACAGAGGCAAAGACTGGAATGACGTGTCTACAATCTAAGGAACATCAAAGATTTCTGGCCACTACCAGAAGCAAGGAATAGACAAGAAAGGATTCATTCCTAGATCTTTGAAAGGGAGCATGGCTCTACCAATACCTTGATTTTCAAATTCTAGCATCTAAAACCGTGAGAATACATTTCTGTTGTTTCAAGTCACACAGTTTGTGGTAATTTGTTACCTAGGAAACAAACATACCCCATACCTACTTAAGTGGCAAATTCAGTCTTTATTGTTCCAGAATCTTTTCATACCATCCTCAAGCTGGGTTGAAGTCACCAACAACCAGGTCTCACATCTGGTTTTCTGCTTCAACACCTGCCTATTCCAGTCTATTTTCTACTGATAGCCAAGGTGATACCTCTAAAACATAAATTATATCCCGTCACTGCTATACCCTAATCCTTCTAAAGGTTTTCTCATTAGGAGGAAAATCAAGTGTTTGAAATGGATGACAAGGCCTTATGTGACCAAATGACCTATTGCAAACCCCCAGTTATTACCCCATTGACCTCATCTCTAGTCATTTTCCATGCTGATGGTTTGGGGTTTACAGTCGTTTTCACCACCAGACATAGTATCTGTGTATTTTTTCCCATTTATTTTTATTGTGATAAATTACACATAACACAAAATTTACCATCTTAATCATTTCTGAGTGTACAGTTCAGTGTATTAAAATGCATTCACAATTGTGTATAACCATCACCACTATCTCTCTCCATTAACTCTTTTCATCTTATAAAACTGAAACTCTACTTTTGTTAAATTTCTGCCTCCTCTTTGAGAGTGGGGACTTAGGTGTTTGATAGAAGAGAAATTTCTATGTCATAATAATATGGTCAACTGGGACTTAATGCCATCAGACTATGAGGAGGAAAAGGATAGCTTTAGGGAAAAGAATCCAGCAACAAAATCTAAAGTTTAACTAAGAGAATGATTAATTAACAAATATAAAAAGGAACTACAGTAAGGTGGGCATGAGGTTTTATGATTTTGTTTAGGCTAGGAAATGAGAATGAGAAATTTTAGAAACGTCTTTCCTAATTACACAAAGAACAGGAACAGCAGAGGCATTAAATACAGGAGCCCAGAGGGTAGAGAAGATTCAAGGTAATGCCAGGATTTAAGATGTACAGAAGTACAAGAGAATCTCAATTTTAAAAAGGATGTTGGAAAGGGATTTTCTGGGAGGGAAGATGGTTCTAGTTTCTCACACAAAAAGAGTGAACTCATTGGGAATTGCCATGGAGACAGGTTAAAATATATGGTACCAGCAGGTATATTAGACAGTGTTAAGGGACATGTCAATTGCAAGTCTCCACAAAGAGCTTAACACATTTGAATAAAGTAAGGTTTTATAGCCTATGAGACAGAGCAGAGGGATGACAACAGAACCTTTGAAGAATCTCAGAGGGGGTAAAAAGAAAAGTCAAGCAAGCAGATGAATACACATTAAGAGACCACATTACTACAAGAGTAAGGCACCTGAGGTGCAGTTGGATGTCGTAAAGGGAAATAAATATTTCACAATGGAGCAGGAAGGTGTATGAGTCAGAAGACAATGATGAATTCAAAGTTTTGTCTTAGAAGAGAGACACGGAAGGAGGAATTTCATACCAAGAGATGTGAAAGGAACATAAAATCATACTCTAACAAGTGAAGAATGGGAGGATTTGAAAAACCAAGCAAGAATAATCCTAGGAGGGGGAAAGTTGACATCTAAGAAGAAATAAACAGGGATTCATTCCAAGATGAGATAAAGTGGTATACTTTCCTCTAAGTTCTTGCACAGAAAAAGAGCTCTCATATGAGGAAAGGGATACATGGAGGCTGTTTCTGTATCCTCAGACACCCTCACCACTGGGATGCCTTTTCTAAAGGACTAGAAAGTGATTTCCACAGCCTTCCCCCTCTTGCTGGTTCTCTCTCACTTACCTGGATGGGGGTGACTGTGAACTTCATCTTCTAAGGTCCATGGTGGTTCTCCTTGTTCCAACATGGAGAGTATATCAGGTTTGTTAACTTGATACCCTGTTCGTGGGAAATAACAGAAGACTTAGCCTCATCAAATGGCACTAGGGATCTGTGATGCTATGAGAATGGTACACTTTAGGGACTGCACGATCTGCATGTTTGGAAATTAAAGGCTTGTCTCTACAACGTGGAGAGATTATACCTTCTCATCTGGGGCCGGGGGGAGGAGATTGAAAATCTCCCACTTCAGAGCACCACAGACACAACAACTCTTTCAGAAGCTGAAGAAAGAAAAGTCACCATCCAAGGGACACAGGGGAGCCGTCCTCACCTACGGACACCAGGTTGCTATAGTTCTCCAGCATCACGTCCCTGTACAGATCCTTCTGATCAGGGTCCAGGAGCTGCCACTCCTCCCATGTGAAGTCCACGGCCACATCCTTCAGTGTCAGCGATCCCTGTAGCAACACAGTCCATGTGCCCTGTAACAACACAGTCCACGCGATAAGAGTGTTTCTCTCATTATTGAAATGGAAGGTGTGAAATAATAGAAAATATATATAATGTTCTCTGTCCCTGGTTGCCGGCTTAGCACTCCTAAAACCTTGTAGTCTCCTAAGTGATAAAAGCACTAGGAGCATCTTTTGTCCTAACAGTTGGTCTTTGAATTCAATCCTAATCTGACACTAACAACTCAGAGTTACCATCAGGCTCCACAGGCTAAAGAGCTCAGTCCCACAAGACTGCCTTCACTTCAGCCACCAGTCCAAAGTCCCAGATTCCAGGTTCCCTGCACTTGTGTCCAACTTAGCTACAAATTCGGGGGTTCCCATAACTTCTCTGCTAAGGTTTGATAATTTGTTAGAACCACTCACAGAACTCAGGAAATTATTATGCTTACTCTTATAGTTTATTATGAAGGACACAAATGAATGGTCACATGAAGAGGCTCATAGAGCCAAATCTAAAAGGGTCCTGAGTGCAAGGGCCTCTGTCCCTGTCGAGTTGGGGTGAGTCACCATCCCAGAAAGCGGACTGTTTGCCTACTTGGAAGCTCTCTGAACCCCGTTGGGGTTTTTATGGACATTCCATTACGTAGGCATAACTGATTAAACCACTGCCTACAAGTGATAGAGCTCAATCTCCAGCCCCTCTCTTGTCTACTGAGATCAGAGGGTAGAGCCAGAAGTTCCAATCAAGGCTTGGTCTTTCTGGGGATCAGCTCCCACCCTGAAGCTCTCTAGGGGCCCATCCTGAGTCACCTAATTAGCATAAACTCACATATGGCTCAAAGGGGCTTGTTATGGATAAAAAAAGACACTCCTATCTCTCAGGAAATTCCAAAGGTTTTAGGAACTCTGTGCCAGGAACCAGAGACAAAGACTATATATATATATATATATATATATATATATATATAATTATACCACAATGAGTCATTTGTTTAATTAAAATAAAGGCAAATAAATAAATAAATAAAATAAAGACAATAAGGAGGTGGGAGGTAACAACTAGATTCTTGGCGGGGATATTCTCTTTCATTTATCAAAATTTTATAAGCAATTGAACTTTTTCTGGTTAAATTTTCCTTATTACTTGATCAATTATTTCATTTTTAATAGCTCTATCAACTTGGGAATTTAAATTTAGTGTCAATACATAATAACCATCATCACACACAAAAATACTGGTACCTCATTGAATGGCACAGTAGCAGTACCACGAGTAGATGTAATTGCTTTAAACTGACCAAACATCAATTTGATGATTATTATTTTGCTAGTTTCAATATTTAGATGAGTTCTTCTTTTCAATATAGTTCACTAATTTTATTCCAATTAAATATAACAACATCTAGCTCTTTCCTATCTACACAAAATATTTAACATTTTTGGGCATGAAAAGTATAGTAATAACTAGATTTTGAACACGTGGAAGGGCTCTGTATTTTCTGAGATAAGGTAAAGTTCTAAAGCAAACTGTGGATCTCAAAAACCCAAGCCATTACCAAACAAGAATTTATAACTCCCTGTGGCCAAATCTGTACTGAAACATCCATTCTACAACCTGTTCACAGATGTCCTTTGATAACTGTGCAAACCTTACATTTTCCTGGGCACTTTAGGTTTTATTCAAGGATAAAACCAGCCCAAAACAAGTGTAGGTATATAAGTCACCAAGCTGTGGTCTTTTGAAAAACTCTGTGCACTGAATTCTACTTGGTCTAGTCCAGCAGAGGACTCAGAATAATCATATAAGAAACAGCCATACACAACCTGCTTGTATATCTATCAATATTAGAAGAATGCTATGAACACAATGCATGTTATCACCTCTAGAAAGAAACCATCAAAGAAATTTCCCAAGAGTTAAGTACCATGAAATTGTGACATCTCCTGAGGAAATTATCTGCCTTCTCCTCAGATTCAATGCATATCAAATAACTTTTCATGATTCTCTGGTTGCAGTGGCTGACAGATTACATGCAAGTTGATGGTTTATGTAACCAGGAGGGACCTGCAGAGTCATACATTATATACCAACATTGGTCATGTAGTACGAAATCTACGAACAATATATATCTGATTCTACTTCATCATGATTTTGAAGGTAGTTTATTTCTCCCCAGAGCCCATTTTTTCCCAATTTATACTTTTCATTTAATTGGACTGCTTTTTTTTTTCAGCCTTCTGGAAATCCATGAGGGAATCAAGAATAAAACAAACCAAAAGTCACCTGAGCCTTCATCATCATCTTGTTTTGTGATATGCCAAGTAACTAGGATGTTGTTTTTAGTCTCTTCTGGATCTGCCCTAAGTTTCTGTTCCAAAATCTCAGTCTCAGGTAACGGATGTCCCACGAAATGACCATATGCAACTCCAGGAACATCCTCCTCATCCTTTACTTGATTTCTCTTGCTCCTCGAAGCCAGGACCTGTGGAGTGAAGAGTAAGTTCATTTGGGTGATATATTCCCTCTGGGCCCAGATGCTGTCACTGCTGCTGTTCACCCACCTTAAGTCAAGGCCAGTGCTTCTAACTGTCCCTTTATTTGATGCCCCTGAGGCAGTAAAACATAACAATCTAAATGGGGAGAGGTATGCCTTTCTTCTGTGAAGTATAAGTAGCATGAATGAGAAACGGAATATGGGAAAGGAAAACCAGCACAGCACAAAGCCTGGCAGAAGAATGGCAGAAGACTTCTCACACAGATCAGTTTTGGGAAAGAAGACATGTAGAAGTCAGGCTCTGGACATTTTTTCCCCTTAAAATCACGTGTCCACATACTCCTTTGTAGTGGGTTGAATGGTGCCACACACCCCCAAAGATATGTTCACATCGTAACCCCATGAACATGTGAATGTGATCTGATTTTGTAAAAGGGTCTTTGCAGATGTAATTATAGGGATCTCAAGATGAGAACATCCAGGATTATCCAGGTAGGCCCTAAAATCCAATGAGTGTCCTTATACCAGACACACTGAGAAGAAACACACAGGGAAGAGGAGACCATGTGAAGACAGAGGCAGACATCAGTTATGCTGCCACAAGCCAAGGAATGTCTGGAGAATCTGGCAGAAAAGAAGGAAGTGAATGGACGTTTGGCAGGTGTGCTGGAGGTCCCTAAGACGACGCCCAGATTCAGTGATTCCTTAGGACTCCCAAGATTTAGCACATAACTGACTTATTACCATGAAAGTAGACAAGGCAAAATCAGCAAAGGGAAAAGGTGTGGCAAAGTCTGGGGGAAAACGAGGCACAAACTTCCAAGAGTCCTGTCTCCATGAAGTCACAGAGGATATGCTCACTTCCCCAGCAACAAGTTGTAATAACTCATGTGAAATGTGTTAGCCTATTAGAGACTCAGTGCCCATGGCTTTTATGGGGGGCTATTCCTAGTACATACCAAAATTCCAGAATCCCAGAGGAAAACACATGTTCAAGACAAACCATATTGTTTGAAAGAAGAGTCTTGGCACAGTGAGCCGCTCTTGATAGGGAAGAGTGGGAACCCTCCCAAAATCTAAGTTCCCAGATGCCAGGGAAGGCATCTTGTCAGCAGGCCTTTCCAAGGAGAACAGTCTCAGGTCAGCTACATCAACTCTGCACAGCAAGGAACCAAGAGTGTCTGCTACAATATATTAATAGATTAGAAAAGTCACATGATTGCCAAAATCGATGCTGAGAAAAATATTTCATAAAAATCCAACACCTAGGGCTTCCCTGGTGGTGCAGTGCTTGAGAGTATGCCTGCCAGTGCAGGGGACACGGGTTCGTGCCCCGGTCCGGGAGGATCCCACATGCCATGGAGCAGCTAGGTCTGTGAGCCATGGCCGCTGAGCCTGTGCATCCGGAGCCTGTGCTTCACAACGGGAGAGGCCACAAGAGTGAGAGGCCCATGTACAGCAAAAAAAAAAAATCCAACATCTATTTCAAATATGAGCCCTGGGTAGGTCAGGAATTCATTATTGCCTTAGCATGAAAAAACAAAACACAACCTATAGTTTTTTAAAAAATATATACTACTATCTTCATCTGTTTCTAAAACACAAAACAAGAGTATGTGTTGTTTGTGGATACATACACATCTAGTAAAAGTATGAAAATATGCGTAATATATAACAAGATAGCAGTTATCCATGGGAAGAGAAGGGGAGAAATAGAAGATGATATGACTTAAGTTGTATCTGTATATCTTTCAAAAAGAAAAAGAACCATAATAAAAAAACAAAACTGAATAAATCCCACATATGTCCAGCTGAAAGCCAGAGATAAAAGCACTCATTAAAAAGACGGGTGGGTTTGTGTGTGTGTGTGCGTGTGTTTGCGCATGCACACATGTGCTAGTGCAACAATACCATTATTTTTCACCACTGTTCTGGAAACACTCCCAATGCAGTCTGATAAAAGAATCAAGTAAGAATTACTAACATTAAAAAAAAAAATTACTAACATAAAAGATGGAGGTCAACTTTAGTGAACACCAAAAATAAGAGTGTTAAGTTAACTGACCAGTTATACAATCTATATGTAAAAATTGACAGCATCGTAGAGTCACATTAGCAAAAATGGTGGAGTAGACACCTCCAGGGGATTCCTCAGGAGCACTAAAAAAACTGACAAAAACTGTCAGAATCAACCTTACTGGAACTCTGGAAGACAGTCAATGGTTTACAGAAACAAAGTGAACACCTGACCAGGAGAAAGGTCACTGAAACAGGAGACTTTTTATGGCATTCTAAATTAGCCTTGCCCCCAGAGCCATTGTGGCAGAGCTGCAGCCTGTATTCGTGGTGTGGATGGATACCTGGACCTGTAGGGAGAAAAGTAAATCTTGTCCCCAAGGAATTGTTTGTTTTGACCTATTTCTGGGTTCCCTAAAGGACTGACACAAGAGGCCTGCGTACAATAGACACACGGAGAAGAACATGAGCTTTCACCTCTGTCTGGTACTCAGGCTCAGCAGAAGCAGGAAAAGAAGCCTAAGGCACTGTTATAAATGGCCTGGCTAAGTTTGAAGGATTGCCCCAAACGGAGCCAATATGCAAAGAACTTAAAATCACTTTCTTTTCTTTTTTAAACTCAAAGAGTTCTACAGTGAGACACATAAAGTTCAAACTATCAAAAGCCAAAGATAGAGAATCTTCAAAGCAGCAAGAACCAACTGTCATATGCAATGGATATGAAATAAGATGAACAGCTGATTTCTATCAGAAACCACAGAGATCAGAAGGCAGTGTGTTCCTGGGACTTCCCTGGTGGTGCAGTGGTTAAGAATCCACTTGTCAATGCAGGGGACACAGGTTTGAGCCCTGGTCCAGGAAGATCCCACATGCCACAGAACAACTAAGCCCACGCACCACAACTACTGAGCCTGCCGTCTAGAGCCCACATGCCACAACTACTGAGCCTGCATGCCACAACTACTGAAGCCCGTGCACCTAGAGCCTGTGTTCCACAACAAGAGAAGCCACTGCAATGAGAAGCCCACACACTGCAATGAAGAGTAGCCTCCTCTCGCCCCAACTAGAGAAAGCCAAAAATAAATAAATAAATTGATAAAAAGAAAAGAAAGAAAAAAAAAGTCAGCGCCTTCTTAAGTCAAAGTGCCAAAAGAAAAATGTAGGAGGTAAAACTATTAAGCTCTTAGATGAAAACCTAGGCATAAATCGATCTGACCTCAAATTTGACAACAGAGCCTTAGATATGACACCAAAAAATACAAAGAACAAAACAAAATAAGACTTCGTCAAAAAAATTTTTTTAATTTATTTAATTTATTTATTTTTGGCTGCACTGGGTCTTCATTGCTGCGTGTGGGCTTTCTCTAGTTGTGGCGAGTGGGGGCTACTCTTTGTTGTGGTGCGTAGGCTTCTCACTGCGGTGGCTTCTCTTGTTGGGGAGCACGGGCTCTAGGTGCGCGGGCTTCAGTAGTTGTGGCTCGCGGCCTTAGAGCGCAGGCTCAGTAGTTGTGGCACACGGGCTTAGTTGCTCCACGGCATATGGGATCTTCCCGGACCAGGGCTGGAACCCATGTCTCCTGCGTTGGCAGGCGGATTCTTAACCACTGCACCACCAGGGAAGAGCCTAGACTTCATCAAAATTTAAAAGTAGTCTGTATAAGATGCTACCAAGAGAGTGAAAAGGAAACCCACAGAATGGGAGAAAATATTTGCAAATAATATAACTGATTAAGGGTCTAGTGAGCAGAATATATAAAGAACAATTACAATTCAATAACAAAAAGACAATTTAAACAGTGGACAAAGAGACTTGAATAGACATTTCTCCAAAGAACGTATAAAGATGGCACATAAATAGATGTTCCTCATCATTTGTCATTAGGGAAATTGAAATCAAAACCACAATGAGATACCACTTTACCACTTCATAACAATCAGCATGGCCATAAAAATAAATAAAGTAATAAGTGGTAGAAAGGATGTGGAGAATTAGATTCCTCATACATTGCTGGAGGCAATGTAAAATGGTGCAGCCTCTGTGGAGTACGGTTTGGCGGTTACCCAAAAAGTTAAATACAGAATTACTATTGACTTAGCAATTCTGCTCTTAGGTATATGCCCAGTAGAACTGAAAACAGGTATTAAAACTTGTACTCAAATTTCGGAACTGCTCTACTCATGATAGCCAAAAGGTGGAAACAACCCAAATGTCTATCAACAGATGAATGAATAAACAAAATCCATAAAGTGAAATATTAGCCATAAAAAGGAATAAAGTACTCAAAGAAGCTACAACATGAACCTTGAAAACAGTATGCTACATGAAAGAATTCAGAAGTAACAGGCGACATATTATATGATTCCATTAATATGAAATGTCCAGAATAGGCAAATCTATAGAGACAAAAAGGCATTTAGTGCTTGCCAGGGACTGGCGGGGGAGACAGGAATGGGAAGTGAGTACTTAATGGATGCATAGTTTCCATCTGGGATGATAAAACAGTTCTACAACTAGATAGTGGTGATGTTTGTACAATGTTGTGACTGTACTTAATGTCACTGAATTATACACTTTAAAATGGTTAAGATGATAAATCTTATGTTAAGTGTGCTTTACCACAAAAAGAAATTGATAAAATTATATAAAAGAAAATTGATGTCTGTTACATGGCGGAACATTTTAGTGGAATATTTTAACACTGTATACTGAAAATTTCAAAATATTTATCATTGGTAACCAAAAATTTTACTTCTAGAAATTTCTGCAAAGGAAATAATGGCATAAGCATGCAAAGATACATATTCCTATAAATGTGTGTATATATATTTATACATAAATGTATAAATAATATATTTATATTTATATATTTATACATAAATGTATACAT